AGTTTCATGTTGATTTTTCTCTCCGGTTCTAACGGCAGTTTTGCTGCCATTGTGTCAGAATAGCAACAGTCCAGATCCGCGCTCTAGCTGATGTTCATTTCAGTCATTAATGACATCTTCCGCATCGAATGACAAATCTCCACAAAGCAATGATTTTTGAGATCTTTAGATCCGTACCTCTTTTATGACACTCATTTTCGCTGTGAAACGTAAAAGTCTACGGTTTGATGCGGAATTGAGGATGTTCTCTTCTCAGTTATGACCGACACGTTCGATAATATTCGTTTCTTGCCCACCTGCAGATAGTCGATTTGGTTCAAGCAGTTTTCATCTAGGTTAGTCCACTGTTACTTCGAACATTTGTGGAAAACGGTGTTCATGACGTAGTGGTGATTACTTTCAGCGGAAGTGATCTTTGCATTCATTTCTTTCGCATATTCCGTATTTGTCGATAATCGCCGTTGTGCCGTTCGTTCTTTTCCCGATCATGATGCGTTGAAATCTCCTTGCACAATGCCGTACGTAGTCTTCTTCTTCATTGCGCCTTCCATTTCCTTGTAGATGCATATTAACCGATACCAGCTGAGACATTTTACTTGTTACGCTTCATGCTGCTTTCCGCTGAGCCAGTCGTAAGGCGAATTCTCGGCGTCTTCTAAGAGTTCCTAAGGATATCATGTCGTTTTATGCCACGGTGGAAGCAGGTTCGACGGATGCCATTTTAAATATTCGTTTTTCGGGTACATGTGCGCATATACTCTTGTCTTTTAAGCTATGTGCTCACTGAACTTATGCAAAGTGACCTTCACAAGATCATTGTATCACCGCAGCCACTGACATCAGACCACGTGAAGGTGTTCGTGTACCAGATTTTGAGAGGTGAATGCAAATTTAGCAGTTGCGAACGTTATTTTTGTTTATCTACTTTGTACAGGCCTGAAGTACTTGCATTCTGCTAACCTTTTGCACCGCGATATAAAGCCGGGAAATTTGTTGGTTAACAGCAACTGTCTTTTGAAGGTGACTTTATATCGGCGTTGTGTAGGTGCGATTGTGTTTAACGTTTATGTTGAAGATCTGCGATTTTGGCCTGGCGAGAGTCTGGGATCCGACAGAGCAGGGCGCAATGACGCACGAAGTCGTTACGCAGTACTACCGCGCGCCGGAGTTGCTGATGGGTGCTAGAAGATACACGGCTGCCGTCGATACATGGTCCGTCGGGTGTATACTTGCCGAATTGTTGGGAAGGAAGATTTTGTTTCAAGCTCAGGGTCCTATTGAACAGGTACTGAACTGGTGACATATCCGTAGGAAACTGTTTTGCACGTGCCGTATCCACTGACGTACCAATTTTAACAGTATGCCGCCGTATTAAAATCTACTCTCATGCTTTCATCGCATACTCTACAGTTCGCAATATCAAAAAGAAACTTTTATCAAGAAGCAAGTTGAAGGTTGAAGAAAGGTCGATCTGTGCAACAAGAAACGTAGTTGTAATTTAGAGTGAGTGGGTTGAATGAGTCTTTAAACTTTTCAAATATAAATCGCAAGAGAAACAGTATTTTCAAATCAAACTTCTGAAGAGGTGGCTCGTCGTTATTCTTGTGACGAGTTTGTTGATAGCCCTAGTTTTGTGTGCTCTTAGGTCCATAGCGAATTCTTTTCTTCCGCGTTTATATTCATAGTACGTCTGTGTCTTGTTTTCCAGCTCAACCTCATTCTCGATCTACTCGGTACACCCGCAGCTTCAGAGATGAAATACGCATGCGA